AGGGGGGGGGGGGCGAACATTGGAGTCTCTTGAGTTAGAATATCTGATTGAGCAGGAGATCTGCCGTCATTGATACGATTGACGATGTGGCGGCAGAGGAAGCAGAGTCACAAACTCTCACCGTTACAGCTACAGCAGACGACACCAATACAAAAATGGATCATAAGATAGTAGATCGATGCGTATTTTATAAGTAAATATGTAATAAACAGAATAAATAATGACTTTTTCCATTTCACACCCAGTATCAACCCTCGAGTTGATACTGGATGTGATATGGAAAATTCTCTTCGTCTCCCTAGACACCAGTCTTCATATATCACATTAACTGTTGCAAATCCACCACTACTGTAGGCCTACCACATTTATAATTAAAAAATGACTGAATTGAGATAAATGATGTGTCTGAAAGATTATGTCATTTACGTATTTGTTTAACAGAAAAAAAACCATTGACATCGCATTGTCAAATACATTCAGAGAAAATCAAGGAAATTCATAGGTAATTGCCGGTTATTTTCATGCATCTCTATATAGGATCCTAAATGTTTCGTTTGTTCTAGCTTGGCACTTGTTTCTTCGTTTTGTAATTCTTATTGCAGTTGTTGGGTTTTTCATACTTTCTTATCCTCCTTATTTTCTCAATTTCCTGATGTATTAACATCTGTTTATTTATTTTAAATAAAGCGTACTAGTGAGGTTTTGTAATTGGAAAACAATGTTTAAAAGTCCTTATCTAGACTGACCCCTAAGTTTTTATGAAGATTTTCTCAACTGCATTTAACTTCTAGCTTATCTCCCCCTAGTTTAGAAATTCGAATCAGACATCCAAGTGATCAAAATTATTAGGTTTTTTTTTCTTAATAATTTAATATCTTTTATGATATTCTAAGACGGGGCGAGTCTAGTCCTTATCCAAAAGGATAAAGAGTATACGAACACATTCAAACACAATTCAGAGTTTGTCATATTGCTATACTTTGTTTCGTTGTGATAATGAGCTCCGTGTGCGATGACGCTACGGTTTATCTTTGCGTTCTACCTTAAACTGCTGTGGTATACATTGCATAGTGCTAAGTGCCATAATATTAAAGTTCATGTTCTTGTCTGCAATTCTCAAAAATAATTGTTTCCAGTGATTGATAAGGCTGTAAGATCCAAAGTACGATTCCTATTTGATTACCCAAATCAATTAAAATGTATACACAGTTAATTAGATAAAAACGAAAACATGAGCTTCCTTTTATTTTCTAATTTTGCACCATTTCTAAATAGATAAAAATTTAAGAAAACAATGTAATTGTTATCGATCAAAGCGTTATAAAGCCAAAGAGGCGATGTATTTTGTAGTTACATATTTATCACCAGAGTGTACATTTTAATCTATTAACTTCCTTTACGTCTTCCTGATCGAAACATAGTTTACCTTTGTTTATCTGGGCGGTGACGTAACGTGGATTACTACGCCGTGGTTGGTGTCCGTACCTGGATAAGGTGGTTTCCATATTTTATTTATACTTTTGATTCTTCCATATGCACGCGCCATATATACCTTATTGAGGGGGCGATGTCAAAATTTGATTAAATTTGTAGAAATTCACTCCTGAAAACACATTATAACCCTTTCAATTGAAAGGTTGAAATAGTTCATTGTGAAGCTTCAGGGGTGAATGAGTTAATGATAACGCAATAGTACAATTTCCATATGCTAGCAACAAACTATTCCTGTGGTTATCTGTAGCAGTAAGAGTCATCAGTACTTATTTGTATTCCTCCGATCCGTCCAAAGTAACACGATAAAAAAAAATGGTTCGGTGTCCTTTTATTTCGTAAGTTTATAGTTTTACAAAATAAATTGAAAAATACATTTGGTATTAATTAAAATCCTTTAGGCAAAACACTCGCCATTTATTTAAAAGAAATCTACATATATATAGGTCATCGGGACGAAATCTAGTAAACCTCCTATATCTGATCGTAACACCAATGTTTATATTCGTTTACCAGGGCGGCGTATGTGGTGTGTATTATAACTCCGGGATTGGTGTTCGTGCCTTGATTAGATGATTTCCATATTCTATTTTTACCCCTGTCATTTCTTTACAAGCAACACCCACCATACAGCAATGTGAAACGGATACATATATTGAACAGGAAAATAGGAAAAATAGGTTTAAAGGCAAGGAGAACAATTTCCCTTAGTAACAAGTCTCAAGTAACAAAAATGAAAACGTGAAAGAGAAACAGCACTCGTTAGTGACAACGTCATGGTCCGATTTTGTTTTTATTAAATTAGAGGAATGATACAGTCAATTAATTAAGGAACATAGCTAGAGAAACGGAGCATGAATAAATGTAAGGAAAACGATTTACAGAGTAACAAGTGTGAATTTGAATCAACCTTCGAATTTGTTAATGATGCCATGGTCTAATTTTGGGGGTTTGAACAAGTGACATTAACAAAACGTTGCCTAGTTCGTTCTTTAGATGAGATGCCTTTTGGAGTAGGAGTAATTAAGGATCATTTGTCATTATAAATTCCATCAACAGTGTCATTTACCTACCAATGGTTACTGCGTCATAGTTAACATTAACTCAATGACTTTGTTTTATTAGATAAAACAACGGAATAATTGTCCAAGAAAATAGACACATTGCACAGTTCTATTCAGTTCATTTCATTGGAGTCTTCTATTTAGTTACTGGCTCAACACGTTCCTTATGAAGACACAATGCGGGCTAAGTTGAGTGTGTTGTTGTCTGATGTCAACGATTTGACTTAAAGATGATGAACTGATACCACAGCAGAAACATTGAATATTCCCTTGTCCAAATTCTGAAAAATTAAATCAACTGGAATGTTTTACGATGGTTCGGTTCACAGTTTGGCATTTTATCTTTACATATTATCGTATTTTACTCATGTAAATTTTAAGAACATTTCATTATAATGTTTTTAGTTAACAACTAAATATAAATATTATATATTTAAGGAGGCACGGTAGTCTAGTGGTAGGACGCCGGGCTCATGACCGAACGGTTGCGGGTTCGAGTCGCGTCACGGCACTGTGAACAAGATACTTTACTCCACTTGTTTCACTCTACTCAGCTGTAAATGAGTATGTGGTTGGGTATTTCTAGAATGGTTGAAGGCTGTCACTGCAGGTATTGCGTAAGAATTGTACCTGTTGCCCCATTGCCTGATCGTAAGAGGCGACTAAATTTGGGATCTTATCTTTTCTCTTCTTTCTAAACAATTTTCTTCTTCCTAATGTCTCCCTTGACAATGCCTCACTTTTGGCCTTTAGTTTAGCGTTCGCCCCTGTGAAGAAGGCTTTGGGTTCTGTCCCCTTGCCGAGACATACCAGAGTCTGTAAAAATTGTAGTTTCTACTCCTGCTTAACGCTCAGCAATTTAGGAGTGGGACGACTGGTTCGCCATTTGTCAGTTTAACGTGACCGGTTGGGGTGTTCTGCTGTTTGTCTTCGGCAGTATGTTTCAGTGAGGTAGCACTATAAAATCGGCATCAGTTCCGTGCTATCACAAGGAGACAGACACGAATATAGCGCAGGTCCCCAAAACACACACACATACACTACACGCACGCATCTTGCACACATGGGAGGCCGTCCTTGAATGACCATAGCTGTTGTTAGGACGTTAAACAATACTAAACCAAACCAAACCAAACCAAGCCATGTTTAATGCTAGCTGTGAACGCGTAAATGGCAGCACCGGCTGTATGCTCCCGAGGAAACTAAGAAATATATTGGCTGGTTGCAAAGGCCCTATAACCACGGATAATAACCGTTTTGAGACGACCTACGAACTAGGTTGTGACAAACGGTATATAAGAACCTCGAATTATTATTATTAGTAGTAATCGCGTTAAATAATTTCTGCTTACTTATCGAAAGATCATTATGATGACAATATAAATAATACGTCAATAAGATATTTACCGGTAAGATAAAATCCAGCAGCAACGAGATCATCAATATCCAGGGCCCCACTGTATCCACTCCAATACAGGAAGGACTGTCTGCGGTTCGACTCGTGTCTAAAAGGGTTGAAGAACAAACACCCAGGAGATCGTTGGACATGGAAATCATAAGGACTTGTGCCGTTCAGTCTTGCAGCGTCGGCCTGCAGTCCACAGGCAGTGCATGCTACTGTTGAGGTGTTGGGATTTATACAGGTAAATCCTCCTCCCACGAGCGGTTCTATTGGAATATGCATGTAAGACCAACCCCTGAAACTTGCTTCTCGTTGGCAGTCATTAGGTATCTCAAAAATAGGGTCATGTTCCAGGGGTTGATTCATCGTCACACTGAAAAGACCAAATTTTAGGTACAGAGAAAGAATAATAGTTTGTCAATGCAACCCAGAACATTCCCCTCAGTTTTATTTTAAAATTCAAACTGCTATACTGGTATAACAGCTAACATAATGCTTAAAAAACGAACTTAAAATAAAATGTTCCATAGACTTTCAATATAACCATAATCGAATTGCCTGTTGATGTTACAATTGCATAATTTGCATAAATAACCACACCCCTGATCAACCAACTACAAACCGACAAAGACCCAAACAAACATAAAACACACATGCACACAAATACTCAGCTGCATGTAGATTATTATCATTTAACTGCTGCTGTCTCACGTACCTTCAAAACATCCTTGCGAACAGGCTTTGAATCGAATGATTGCTTGGAAAGAACTATGTTAACCATTGCTTTGATTCGTCGCGAAAAACCAAATACGCCAAACTCCTCAAATCTGCCACATAAATTGTTTCTATCAAACTATGAACTTACAATCGTCTACCCTGGTTTTTTCTGTTACAGAAACATTTTGGTAGCCGTAGAATCCATGCTGTCGCATAATTTGTTTACATTTGCAAATGGCTCACCGACTATCATTTGACCTCTCTGTTTTCAGGTCAAATACTCTAGAAAGGAGTTAACGATCTGTATTCACAGGGTATATCAGTAATTTCATTTCTGCTGAAATTGCGAAGAGATCTAAAACTACAACACCATATTACCTTATTTGTCAACGTCGAAGATCTCGTTATATAATTGAACCTACCTACTGTTATTACTTAAGATTTGTAAACATTAAACCAAGTGGAAAACTAATATCACAGCTGATATACACACATACGCGACTGTTGACTCGCAAATAATTTTGCAAAAAATAGTTCTATATATAATGAATCGATAAAAACAATCCAGTTATTTGTGCTTCAAGTTCTGAAATGAAAACATATAAATATATAGTTGTAGTCATTGTAACACGATGAAAAGGACTTAATCAAATAATACGTTGCAAGTACAGGTTTCAAGAGGCGTGGCGTTTACAGAGGCGGGAGGAGCTTAGTAACTCTTGAATTTTGATTGTGCTCCACTGATCATGCTGAGTAAAGTGACATCTACTTCCGTCACATTATCAGGCTTTAATCTCAGAACTTAAGTATTCAATGTATCACAACTTCATCAGAATATAAACACATTGAACGAATCAACAAAGCACTTCACTGTTTCCTTCGATGTCATTATTTNCTACAACGCAGAGGTTGATATGTTCGTTGCATATTTTCTACAAACAGCGAGTATTAGAGAGTAATGAGAGAAACTGTTAAACTCTGGGGTTGGCATGCTTTAATCATAATGTACATGAAATAAAGTATTTCATAGCTTATTATTCTTTATGATATACACATAATAAGATAACTCACCAATTGTCCAATTCTCCTATGTGTTGTTACTTATTGATTATATTATATGGCACTGATTTGTGTCGAACGCTTCATCGTGGAGGATTTTGTGACCTTTCATGCATAAGGTTACAATGCGCGCGCACTCCTCTGATTACTATTATGCCTACAACCAACGAATCACAGAAACGTGTAACTCCGCCTATATGTAAATCATATGACAGCTTACAAAGAAACACTTCATTCAACATTTTGTATTTATTAAAGAAAATGAAGCCAACTGTCGTAATAAGGTAGTTATTACGTCACACTCACACACTTACAAATTCATTTTATTTTATATTTCGGTTCAATTGTTTCTAAATGTATTCTGTTGCTTATTATCAATAATGTAAAAAACATAGTTGAGCATTGTTTCGAAGACCGCAAATTTCCCTAGAAAATTAACAACAAACTTCTGTTTTCTTTATCCGTTAAAGATTATCACATTCAGTCCTAAAATCGCTCTCTTTTTTTTATAAATGAATAATCTTTATATATATTTATCTGAACTTAATCTATTCATTTCTAGCTGTGTGCTAAAATACATTAAAATGAATATTGCGTTTCTTGCAATTGGAACTAGTGTTGCAATACTCTTAAAACCTTAGAAATAGCATACATGTGTATAGCTTTTTACCCAACTTTCAGCTTTTTCTGGTTGATGTAACTTTTCAAATTTGTCATTCACATTAAATTATATTTTGGTCAAAAACTCAATTAATAGTTTTTTATATGTAAATTATGATTAGACAAGATCCTTTATAACTAAATCGATTTTTCAGTGTTTAACATAACAACAATTCTAAGAGGGTTATTTTCATTTCGGGGGTTTTAAGGGTGTATGTCATTGTAAAGAAACTATGGTTTATTTCCTAGACCGGTTTGTTTTCATGTTGGGCTTATTTGTGATATTTATGTCACCTCTTTTGCCTGGTCAACGACTGTGCTACGAGATGGTAATTATAATTTTTAAATGTTTGAGAATTCGAACAGTTTATGTAATTTACTCGGCATATAATTACCGAATTAAGTGTTTAAATTGTCTATGGTAGTTAGTGTACCTTCTCCAGTAACTATTGTGGCTACATCAAAATTAATATTTCAAGTTTTGCAACCTACCTTTTTGGGTTATTGTTCTGTTCTTAATTGTTATATTCAACTGAGTAAAGAAAAGAAAAATAGAAAAGATGCAAAGTAATTTGAATTTTATCGATTTTTGAATTTAAGAGCTTTCATATTTAATCTAAAAGATTCTTTTTATGTTGTTCAAGTAACGTGGCCTATTCATTAATTATTTCTGAGATCATTACACATCCGTGTTATTGTAATAATGAACAAATAATCTATAGTTCCTTTATACATAACTTAACGGATTTGGATGAGATGAGATATTACTTATTATCTCATGACTTGTTTTGGTAATAATTTTCGATAATTCAAAGGACAAATTTTTCTAACCATTATTTAATTAATCATGTTTTACATCTTAATACGTTTTCAAACCAGTGCGTTAGGTTACTTGATATTTGTTTAATGATTTTTTTTATGTTGTATGTATGCACTTTCTTTTATAAAATCGTAATTAAATTGTAAACTGCATTGTACATCAGCTCAAAATAAAATATTTGGACATTTTAAAGTTTGTTTTCTAAAGATTAAGTGTATGTTTTAGTATTATATAAATATTCACACTTAGAGTTAAAATGAGAATACGTGAATATTGAGCTCTATCACAACAATCTGTACATTTGAAATAGTGCGTTTTATAACAAAATGTTGACACTTTTTTTCCAGTACGATACAAATATTTAAGCATTGAACTGTTTTTGCATGATATTTATGATCTATTTGAATGACACAGCTTTGCAAGTAAAAATCATTATCGGAAAAAGTTGGCCAAATCCAAGCAAAATGTGTGAACATCGTTTGATTCTGTCATGGTTAGATCAGCACAGTGTAACAGACGATACTGTATTTCTGATAAATTGATAAATTGTTGTAATAAAAGATTTTTTTAAATTAATTTCTTACACATTTACAATTACATTGTCAAGTCTAAAAATACCCAGCGATATTTCATCTTCAGCTATGATTTTTTTACAATGGATATTGTAGTTCCGGTCAGTGTTGTATTAATACGCTAATAATTGTCTCGTACTGCATGGTATTTAAAGTCCCATCAATAACACAGCTTTCAAATAAACTATATAGTGACAATGCCATGCAAATGTAAGTTAGCATAAGTATAGTTTGTACACAATTGTGTTTGTATTATTTGTTTACGCGGACGTTATACCGGTAGGTGATTCCCCTATCTATTTTTAGCGTCCCTGTGATTCGCTGTATGGAGGTCCTCTTCCCATTGAATAGCGATATCTTTGATGATGAAGAAACATTTGAGCATAAGTATGGAATGAACAATTGTGATTGTAACAATGTAAACAGAGTAACCGACTCGTTAAGTTCAATAAGCTGACAAGTTATAAACATCGTCATTCCTGAACGTGTGCATTTAACACAACGATTATTGACTCATAGATACTTTTATGCAGAAAGTTTTCTTGATATTCAGCTGATCAAATAACTCACCGAATGTCTGATCTCTTCTAAATGTTAATTGATAAAACTATTCTTGTCCTCTACGTTGATTGTGACCGTAAAGATAGGGTTGTACAACGCAAGGTTAGCGTAAGTCCCCGCTCGAAAGGTTGTGCTCTGCGACCCAAGTGATTACATGCATATGGATTAGATATCAATGTCAGAGTTTGCTGTGAGGGGCCACACAAGTCAGCCTGATAACAAGTCAGTGTTGTGTGAATTGTGGAGCCTCCAACAGCTAATTCTATACACAGTTTGACAGAGAGACAAAATTACAATTAAATTAATTCAAATTCAACCGCTCATTGTAATGATCCCAAATTTTATCCACCTCTTCATCTCCATTTTACTACCACAAAAAATCAATTTCAAATGACTTTTCAGTCTCAAGTTATCTTGTCCACAAACAGACATTGATGTGATTGCTCTGGTGACCATGCTGTACTTCTGATGAACATGAAAATCAACACCATTTGTACAAAATCACTTCAGATAAATAAAAATATCGTTTGAAAAAATAATACAAGAAACGAAATGAAATAATTAAAAAAAATGCACCTAGGTCAATGACTGTGGAACGAGATTAAGTGTATTACTGCCGAATGCAGTATATAAGTTATTTGCGTGAGTAGGTATAGTTACGGCAGAAACTATAGATTACAATTTTCAAGTATTATCACATCAATTGTTGGGTTAATGTCATCATAACGGTATATCAGTGGAAAGTAAAAAAAGAATTAAAATAGCACTTAGAGAGCATGTCACACAGATAACCAGACAGGCATGTCACACAGATAAACAGACAGGCATATCACACAGATAAAAAGACAGGCATGTCACACAGATAAACAGACAGGCATGTCACACAGGCAAACAGACAGGCATGTCACACAGGTTAACAGACAGGCATGTCACACAGATAAACAGACAGGCATGTCACACAGATAAACAGACAGGAA